GCCCAAGTGGCAGAAGATATTTATTTAGGTTGTAGAGGTGTGCTGCACTCAAGGGTCATCTTGGGAAATTCCCACTGAATCCAGCCAGGACTTCAAGGAGTTTCCCTGCTCCATCCAGAAGGAAGTACTGCTGATCCCTTGTCCAGAAAAATGGTGCAATCCATCCCAAATTTCTTTTAGAGGTCTTCCACTGGTCCTTCACAGCCCACAGAGCTCTGCCGGGGTTTGTGGGGAGGATGAACACAAGGGATTTTGGAGCAGGAGTCATCCACTCACTGTGGCCTTGGAAAAAGAGTTGTCTGTACTGCTCTCTACGCCTTCCTGAGGATGGGAAGTGGAGAGGAAGGTGCTGAGCTCTGTTCCCTGATATCCAGTGACAGGACATGTTGGAATGGTTCAAAACTGTGTCAGGAGAGGTTCAGACTGGACATGAGGAAGCATTTCTTTACCAAGAGGGTGGCTAAACACTGCAGCAGGCACCAGCAGGAACTCTGGCAGCTTGCTGAAAATGAGGTTCCTCACTTTTTCTCTTGGAAAGTTAAACCCGAGAGAATCAGAAATTGCACCTGTTTGAGGGGTCAAGTGCAGAGAAAAGTGGAAGAACAGAAGTCTTCAAAATAAGATCACATTTGAGATCGGGAGATTATTTCACAACTGAGGGCTGAAACTGAAGTTTATAAGTCTTTGTCTAATACCAATAGGATTTTTACCTCTTCACTCACAGAAGCTCAGGAAAATCAGCTGGCATTGTGAGCAGTATCCCAGGCTCCTCTTGGCTTCCTCAAGACAATTCCTGCTCCTGAGGCAAGCTACATTTTGTTTCCTTCTTCTGGGTCAGGTCCAGACTAAGGAACAGACTCCCACGTGACACTTCTGACTCCCCGTCTTCTGAAATACAAATACAAACATCAGACCTCAGGTATTTTTGTCCCTTGATGAAAGGAGGGTAGTTTGGCTTTGGTGGTTTTTTTTTATTTTTGCTTTCCTTCCTGAAATAGCCTCTAGTGATCTTCAGGCCAGGAGTCCACGGGCTGCTGCTCACACTGTCGCTCACGTCAGAGGTATCAGCCCTTCATGTTCCCCACCTTAACCCCAAATCTGAATTCCAAACATTATTACTTTGTGCCCAGTTGCACAAGGAGATAGGTGACGACATTCAGTAAAATCGGATTACTGGCCAGTTAAATGATCCCAAGCTGGATCCCAGCCCGAGGATTTTCAAGCTACGCAGACTTCCCTTGTTCATTTTCTGTGAGAAGAGGTAAATATTGCCAGGCTGCCTAGAGACGTCAGTCAAATGTTGTGACAAATCTGAGTGCAGCCAAGAAGGAATTACAAGGTGCAGAGAAGATAAAACTGCCTTGGGGAATTTATCCCAGCGCTGTGAAGCACAAGAGCAACTCCTACTTTATGTTTTCTTCTCCTTTTCCCAGTTTACTTATAAATTGCAGAAGAAATGGGGTGTCTGTACCCTTTGGGGAATCACAAAATTATTTTGAGATTTCCTCAACAAGGAAATCTTGTGTCATGTGGAGTCTTCCTCCTCCTGAGAGGAGCCCAGCTGACTTGCATACCTTGAAACCACTGACTCCCTGTGCTGTTCTTTCACAGCCTTGCATAAATATTTGGCTGGAACACACAGACCCAGGTAAATGTGAACCCACATCAATGTCAGGATTAAAAAACACACTTGACTCGCTTAAGCCCAGGAGGTTTTAAAAAATCATAATGTCAATAATAAATTTTAAAGTAAATTCTTATTTTTGGCTCCCACTTCTCAGACAGATGTGCAGGCCATTCTCCAAAGGGTTTCCCTTCACCTCTGGGACATTCATGTTTGGAGTTGAAAGCAAAAGCCTCTACATAATTTCCTGGTCTTGTGATTTTGGTTGCCCAGAGCTGGGAAACTCATGATAAATTAGCACTGCTGCATGTCTTGGGGTGTCAAAGCCTGTTTCCATCTTTCTGGGAAACACCGATGCCTTTTTGACACCCACAGAAAATTCCCAGCTTCCCCAAATTAGCGTTTTCTCCTGACCTTTCCCTCAGCTGATGGTTGGGATATACTTTACCAGACACCCAGCTTTTGAAGCAGTCATGTTAAATATCCCTTTCTTTTTGCCATCAGCTGCTCATGATTCATAGCCTTGATCTGACACCCTCAGTAATTATCCCCTCTGCAGCAGAGGCAGATTTGGAGCTGGCACAAGCGGGAAGGCGCCCGTTACCCTGCAAAGCAGCGGGAATACTGGGAGACCTTCCTGCTGCCCTCCTGGAAATGGAGGCTTAGCTCCATGTTTCTGGATGAATCCCTTTTTCCAAGAAGTAGAGGCCATGCTGTTGTTTTAGCCACCGTGGTAACTGCCAGCAGCCAAGGTTTGAGGTAACAAAAGAGAGTTACATCCAACAAGTCTGTTTAGAACTCACAAAACTGCCTGTGCAAGTGCCAGGGTGCCTTTTGTGATAATTAGGAGAAAACCTACATCCCACATCAGCAATCTAGAAGGATTTAGATGCTCAGGGGGTGAGGCTTCCTCCTCTTTGCCCAAGGCCAAAGGACCAGCACATCCCACATCTGCTGATGGGACCAACCAGACAGAATTCTTCTCCTGTCTCTTGTTAGTTACAAACACCACACAGTGAAACCAAATCCAGACTGACTTTTAAGTGGATTTCAGACTGTTCTGTTTTTCTTAGGTTGCTGCCAAGGGAGCTCTGTTCTTATCTGTTATCCCCACAGCCCTCAGTTAGAGAGGAGACCCAGCATACCCTGGGGAAACCCCCATTTCCCAGGCAATGAGCCACAGGATATTTTTGCAGTTTTTTATAGGCACTGGTGACATAAACAGAGAGTTTGATGAGCTCAGTATCACCTCCCTCTTCTCTGTGTGTGTGGTGTGTATGGGTATATGTGATCCCAAGGTGATCCCAAATTAATCCCACCTCCAGATGAAAATTCCAAATAAACCCCAGCCCTGATGAAAATTCCAAAATAAACCAAATCTGGATAAAAATCCTCAAGTAACCCACACCTGGATGCAAATCCAAAATCAAACTCTAAACCCCCATCCAGATGAAAATCCCAAATCCACCTCCAAATGTTCATCCTGATAGAACCCACACATTTTTGCCATGCAGGTAGGAATCCCAAAGAGACCCCCAAGTCCTCATCCAAACAAAGACCCTAAATCCTTGTTCATCTGGGTGGGAATCCAAATTCAATTTACAAACCACCATCCAGATTAAAACTCCCAATCCACCACAAGTGTTCACCATGATAAAAACCCCAAATCCATCCTCAGATCCAGTGAAACCCCCCAAATCACTCCTAAGTAGGTTGAAATGCCAAGTCATCCTCACTCCTCTTGTTCCAATAAAAAGGCGAAATCCTCCCCAACATCCCAAATCCAATGAAAACCCAAACTTCCCCACACAGATGGGAATAACAAATCCCCTCTCAAATGGCCCACACTGTCAAAAAACCCAAATCTTTCCAAAGTCTTCGTCCTGATGAATATTCTGAACTCCCTCCATGCAGTCAGGAATCCCACCACCCCCCAAGGCCACATCCCAATGGAAATCCCAAATCCACTCCTAAATAGAATGTAACCCCCAAATCTCCCCAAGTAGTTGAGAATCCCAAATCCCCTCCACAGATTTCCACAAATCCCCAATGAAAGCCCAAAATCATCCCCAGCCCTCCAACTCTAACAAAACCCCTGAATGTCCCCATGCAGTTGAGAACCCCCAATCCCAACCCCACATCCCCATCCCAGTGAAATCCTCAAACTTCCCCATGCAGTTGACAACCACAAATCCCAATCCAAACAAAACCCCTAAACCCTCTCCAGCCTCCTAACTCCAAACAACCAAATCCCCTTAAACCTGCTCTCCAATGAACCCCTAAACCCCTTTCCAACTCAAACAAAATCCCCAAATCCCTCCATGCAGTTGAGAACCCCAAATACTAGTAAAATCCCTAAATCTTCTCCAACCTTCCAACCCAACAAAACTCTCAAATCCCTCCATGCAGCTGAGACCCCCAAATCCCTCCACACCCCTATACTAACAAACCCCTAAGCCCTCTCCAACCTCCCAATTCCAGTGAAACCCCTAAACTCTCTCCAACCTCCCAACTCCAACAAAACATCCAAATCCCTCCAGGAAGTTGAGAACCCCAAATCCCCTCTCCCATATTTCCATCCTAATGAACCCCTTAAACCCTCTCCATCCTCACACCTCCAGTGAAACCCCCCAAGCCCCTCCATGAAGCTGAGAAGCCAAAATCTCCCCCAGACCCCCCATCCCAAGTAACCACCCATCCCCTCTACAGGTGCATCCCTCGCTCCTTGCTGCCCTCTCTATCCCCATCCCCATATCCCCATCCTCATCCCCATCCCCATCCCCATCTCTATCCCATCTCCATTGTCCCCATCACAACCCCATCATCCTCATCCCATCTCCATCTTCCTCATCCCCATCCCATCTCCACATCCCCATCCCTATATCCCCATCCCCATCTCTATCCCATCTCCATATCCCCACCCCATTCCCATCTCCATCCCATCCCCATCCCATCCCTGTCCTCATCCTCATCCCCATTCCCATCCCCATCCCCATCATCCCCATATCCCCATATCCCCATATCCCCATATCCCCTTATCCCCATCTCCATCCCATCCCCATCATCCTCATCCCTATCCCATCCCATCTCCATATCTCCATTCCCATATCCCCATCCTCATCCCCATCCCCATCTCCATCATCCCCATCCCATCCCCATCATCTCCATCCCATCCCCATCATCCCCATCCCATCCCCACATCCCATTCCATCCCCATCCATGCGCTCTCTCCCCCCGCTCCGGGGGCGGAGGCGGGGGCGGTCCGGGGCCGTTCCGCGCCTCCCCCGGCAGCGGGAGAAGGGGGGGCCGGTGGCCGGGGCCGTGGCCGGGCCGGGGCCGGGGGAGGGAGGGCATCGCCCGCCCGCCCCGCCGGGAGAGAGCGCCGGGAGCCGCGCCGGGAGCCGCTCCGAGGCACCATGCGGGCTGCGGGGCTGCTGCCGCTGCTGCCGCTGCTGCTGCTGCCGCTCGGTGAGTGCCGCCCCTCCGCTTTCCGTGCCCTCTTGCCCGCTTCGAGCATCCCTCTCCTTCCCGCCGCGCTCCGCTTTCCCCGCTTCTATCGGCGAGTTTGGCGGAAAAGCAGCCGGGGGACGCCGGGCGCTCTCCCGGAGCCTGAGCGCGGCTTTACCGAGGCTCTGTCGGAGCCCCGGGCACGTCCAGCCCTGTGCGGCAGCGCAACTTGGGGCTCGGGAGCCGCAGTGCTGCTTCGTTCTGCGGAGGGACGAGCCCGAGCCTCCGGCTCTTCCCTCCCGCATCCCGCTCCCCAAACCCCCGCGCGGGGGTTCGGGCTCCTGGGAGAGCGCCGAGCTCCTCACCCCGCTTTTGGGGTCCCTTCGGGAGAGGGGGAACTTTGGGTTCGGCGTGGTGGGGCTGTTCTTGCAGTGGTCCAGGTGCTGCACCCACGGAACGGGAGGCAGAGGTGCGTGAGCAGAGTGGGGAATACTGCTGGAGACAGCAATTCCCTGGTGGAAGTTGATGGTGGAGTTGGGAAAAGGTTAAGCTGGAGACTATTGGGGATGTGTCGTGCTGGGGAGGTTTGGGAGTGGAAATACTTCCTGGGGTCCTGCGGTAGTGTTGGGGTTCAGGGTGATGGAGTGGGAGTTGTGGTTCTCTGGTGGGGTGTTCTGTGGAGAGGTGGCCATAAACCACACGGAAAAGTAGCAGGGAAAGGAAATGCACTGATGCTTTCCAGAGTGAATAAAGGTAGGGAGGAGTGGGGCATTTCTTCCTTGTAATCAGGGAAGGCAAGGGAGGTACAAAATGAAAATGAAATGAAAATGAAATGAAATGAAATAAAATAAAATAAAATAAAATAAAATAAAATAAAATAAAATAAAATAAAATAAAATAAAATAAAATAAAATAAAATAAAATAAAATAATAAAATCTTGCTCCAGCTCATGGCTCCCAGAAGAGCCTCTGTGGAGCTGAATGTGCTTTTATTCAAGGTAACAAAAGCTGGGGGATGCTCCGGAGGTAAAAGCACAAGTGGAGGCAGGGCCCTGGGGATTTAACTCTGGGGTGAATTCCCAGAAGTCTGGCTGAAATCCCTGCCTGCTCCTTTTTTTTCCTGTTCCTCTTGGGACTCACGGGGTTTGGTGGGCGAGCAGGTGTAAACATCTGCTCCTGATGCCAACATGGGCATTAAAAGAGATTTCTCTTCCCATTAAAACGCAGGAAGCCCTGAGCATCATTAACACTGGCATAAAGTAGGAGCTGTTAATGCAATTTTTCTTGTGCTGGCCAGAATTTAGCTGAGTTTAGCTGACTTTGCCTTCTCATGAGGTTCTGTTCTGTTTTCCAAAATGAGGTGGTAAATACACTGGGGTTGGGACAAAATGGGTTCTCAGTGGGAGGATGGTGTGGGGACCTGGTTCTGTAACACTCTGAAGTGATCCTGTTACATCTTTCTCAAAAAATAATTGATTAAATCCTTCAAAACAATGTTTTCTAACATTTGTTTCTGCTCTTAAATTTTGAAATAAGCTCCTTAGAGATGCTTTTATGTTGCTCCCTGGGTATTGGAGCCAGGATTTTGATCCTTAGGGGCCAAGATAGGCATCCCTATTTGCTGAGTGTTTGGGCTCAGAGTCCCAGCACTGCTTAACTCCAAGACTGGTATCTGCTTTGATCCTCTGAGTTTCTCAAAGCCTAAAATTTGTCTTTTTATTTCCCTTCCTCCCTAAATGGGAAGAAGTTTGGTTTGTAAGTGAAGCTGTAATATTTTGGGTATCTTAGGAAATAACGGTTGGGATGGGGCCTGCATGATTTGCTGTGTTTAAACTGGATGTGAAATGAGAGTTAAGGATTTCAGAGCTCATTTTTGGAAGGTGACAACTTCTGTGTGTAGGACAGAGCAGAACCAGCCTAAGGTCGCTGAAGTTTTTAAAAGCAGCTCTCTGGGGTAGAGCAATTTCCTTAGAAATACTGACTTCCAGGCTTGTGCTTCCCAATCCCCTGGTTCTGCAGAGATTCCCCTTTATATCCTTGCTTAAATCAGAAGGAAATGAGCCTCAGACAAGGCACAGCCAGCGTGTACAAGAGATGCAGCAAGTATAGCATTAGGCAAAAAAACATCTTTAAATTCCACCAGCCGGGGAGGGGCTCAGAGTTACCCATTACAGCATCTTCATGGGATATTTTATTTTATTTATTCTTTCTCCACATTGCATCTTGTATTCCCACAGGCGGTCTGATAGCAAAATTACATCAGGAAGAGACAAACAATACTTTTTATTCTCAGGGGATTCAAAAGAGCCACAGCTCAAACCTGTCCTGGGGGCAAAAAAGGGCAGGAAGGGCTTTTACCGGAGATCAAGCACCGGGCTCAAAGCAAACCACAGACTGATGGGTTTGAAATCCTTGTTGCCAAAACACCGCTTCTCATTCCCTAAACTGCATTCCCAGGCTACCTCCCCGGTACTGAGAGCTCCCTGGTACTGGCAGTTTGTGTTTGTCGACGAGCTGTCAAAGATGTGCACTTTAAAAAAAAAACATTTTATCCATTTGAATACTAATCCTGACACGGGCAGGAGGAGGCAACTGGGGCCATGTCCCCAGGAGGAGAAGAAAAATGTTTAACCAGAGGGTTTTAGAATCAGCATCAAAACAGATGGGATTCTTGTTAGATATTTCATCTCTGAGGAACTTTGATAAGATTTTTGCAACCTTTTTGCCGTTTTAGCAGTGCAAATCCTTCGATTCCCCGCATGGACACAATAATACTACCCTGGGGGCTGTTTGGGAGGCTTAATTAAAGGATTGTTTGTAAATCATTTGAAGATTCCTGGAAGAAAGGAACTGGAACCATGCAATATACTGATTTAATTCCAGGGAGTTGCTCTAGAGGTTTGTGAGGAGGGTGATCATTCATGCCGGTGATGGGAGACTGGCTGGAAAAATCTGTTCTCAGCATTTACAGGGAGACTGGGGTAGCACTTTGGTTATTATTTTCCCTCTAAACCATGTGTTTTGTCTCCCCATCTGCACTTCTCAAAGGCCTAAACCCAGCAGCGCGAGTTCTGGGGTGTTTCTGGGGACTGAGGGAGGTAATTTACGGTGAGGATCCCCCTGGCTGTGCTGTGCCCCCATTATCCCGGGGGTTTTATCGCTCTGTGAGAGCAGAGGAACTGTTGGGGTTTAGGTACCCTAAATTTTGCCCCTTTATCTGTGATGCTGCTCTGGGTGGCCCCTTTGCCATGTCCCCAAGGACCCACCACAGCACCCAGAGGCCCCTGAGGCTCTGTAGAGCTGGGGAGGATGGGGTGAGTGGGGTTTTATCCTTACAGAGTGATGCTCTGTGGAGGAGAGGTCCCACTGTAACATCTGCCTCAGCTGCTCTGTGCTACAGGGGCTCAACCCCCAAGCTCAGGTGCCTCCAGCAGCTTCATCTCCAGGTGGTCCAGGCAGGATGATGCCTGTAGCAAACCCACCTGTGGATGTGCAGGAATTCCTCCCTCTCCACTGCTGAGCTGATGGCGAGTGACAGAAAAGCGCAGGTTGTGATCCTGAGTGTGCACCTGACCTCCGGCGTTGTTCCCAGCCTGACACCACTCCTGCATGATCAAGAGCCACCCTCAGCTCTGCCCAGAGCAGCACGAGAGGGTTTGGGCCCTGCAGGAATCCGGGTGGCCCAGTTGGGTCCATTCCCCATGTGCAGGCATGTGAAATCTCACCAGCCCTCTCCAGAGCTTTCACACGCTCCTGCCAGCTTCCTGCTCCAGAGCCTGTTTACGTGCTCAGCTCCTTCCACAACTGGCCCATCTCCACCTAAGGATGTTGTTTCTGAATTCTTGCAATGCCTGCCCTTTCCTTCTCAGAGAGATCCTGAGCAAACCTTGCTTTTTTTTTTTTTTTTTTGGCTTTTTTTTCCCACTCTCTAAGCAATGCACGCAGTCATCTGGCATTTGTTGTTCTCCAGCTACCTGTGCTCCGTCCACTGCCACCCCCAGGGCTTTCCCAAATATTCCACATTGCAGAGAGCAGTTCCTTTAGGCTTGGAGCTGCCAAACAAACCCATGAAGTCTTTCACTTGCAGTTTGTGAGGCCACCCTGATTCCCCATTGCAGCTCCTTTGGGGATGTGCCACCCATCTCCCCCTAAAACCTCTCTGTTTGACACTGGAGCCTAATGAAAAACATATCCTCATTTTTATCCTGAACTGCCTGGTGGGATGGTGTCCCTCACCCAGAGTGAGGGTGCTTCCTCCTGTGCTTCGTAATTTGGGAGGTTTGGGGACAGTTTGTCTGAGCTTCGTTGGGTTTGAAGTGCTCTACTTAAATATTTGTTGTAGTGCTGGGCTGAAGCCTTGCAGTGTTTTATTCTGGAGATCCTCGAGGAATACACAGATCCACAGCAAACAGGCAGGAGGGATGTGCTCTGCAGAGGTGTTCAGCCACTGGAGCTATCCAAAAACATGCTAATTTTTCTGCTAAGAAACCCTGTCTGGGAAGGTAGACAGATCTGGGGAGAAACAGATAATCTTCCTTGTCACTGTACAAAAATCATATAAGATTTTTTTTCTCAGCTCTAAATGGAAGAGGTGAAATGCTGTTTAAAGGACTGGCTCTGGTGGAGTTCCTCTCTATTTTTCCAATGTTTGGTGGCAAGACTGTGCAGTGAGTGGGCAGGGATGGGGGGATCCTCTCAGCTGGGGCTGCTGTGGTACAAATAGCATCAAGAAGTGTTCAAAGTGTAGATGTGGTGCTTAGGGACATGGTTTAGTGGTGGACCTGGACTTAATGTTCCTAGAGGTATTTTCCTACTAATGATTCCATGATTCCATGGGCAGGGACAACTTCCACTATCCCAGGGTGCTCCAATCCCTGGCCTTGGACACTTCCAGGGATCCAGGGGCAGCCACATCTGCTCTGGACACCCTGTGCCAGGGCCTCCCCACCCTCACAGTAAACCTGAAGTTCCTTCAAAGGTGACTAAACCTGTTTCAAGTTACCTGCTGGCTTTGAATTGCA